CACGCTCAGCACGGAGCACAACATGGGGCTCGATCTCACGACCCTGAGATCATGACCTGAGCCAAAATCAGGAGTCCGACACTTAACCGACTGAGCCACCCAGACGCTCCTGAGTGTGACTGTTTTAGGTCCCTCATGTAAGTATTTGTTTTTCTGTGCAGTGGCTTGGTTCTCTTAGCATAATGTCCCCAGGCTCATCCCTGTTGTCACTGTCACATATGGCAGAGTTTCCCTCCTTTTTATGGCTGAATAATGTCTGCGTGTGTATCACATTTTCTTTCTCCACTCATCTGCTGATGGGCTTCTAGGTTGTTTCCATGTCTTGGTTCTTGTGAATAACGCTGCGGTGAACACAGGAGTGCAGATACCTCTTTGAGACCCTGATCGCACTTCTTTGGGACGTATACCCCGAGAAGTGGGATTGCCAGATCATACGGTAGTTCCGTTTTTCATTTCTTAAGGAACTGGATACTTATTTGAAAGTGGCAAAGAGAGGTAAACGGTGGAGCTGATCTAGGACAGTGCTTATTGCCCACTGATACGGCCCGAGAACCTCAAAAACGGAGCCTCCCTATCATGAGGCACTAGGATAACAGTGATTTGTGCGTATTCTTCCAGCTCGTTCGGACTTTATCCTGTCCTGGCATTTAGGCCATCCCCTCTCTGCCTGGGCGTGAGGTGTTTGCTGTCCTCTTTTATCTTGGGTTCTCTCGTTTTAGGAACGACTGCTCAAAGATCATTCACCAGAGGACCAACACAGTGCCCTTCGACCTGGTCCCCCACGAGGACAGCGTGGCCGTGGCCGTGCGAGTGCTGAAGCCGCTGGACTCCCACGATCTGGGCCTGGAGACCGTGTACGAGAAGTTCCACCCCTCCGTCCAGTCCTTCACCGACGTCATCGGCCACTACATCAGCGGCGAGCGGCCCAAAGGCATCCAGGAGACAGAGGAGATGCTGAAGGTGGGCGCCACGCTCACGGGCGTAGGCGAGCTGGTTCTGGACAGCAGCTCCGTGCGCCTGCAGCCCCCCAAGCAGGGCATGCGGTACTACCTCAGCAGCCAGGACTTCGACGGCCTGCTGCAGAGGCAGGAGGCCAGCGTCCGACTCTGGAAGGTCCTGACGCTGGTCTTCGGCTTCGCCAGCTGCGCCGCCCTCTGCTTCATCCTCCGCAAGCGCTACCTGCAGCGACAGGAGAGGCAGCGCCTCAGGCAGATGGAGAAGGAGTTCCAGGAGCACGAGGCCCGGCTGCTGAGCGGCGCCAAGCCCGAGGACAGGGAGAGTCTGAAGAGCGCCTGTGTCGTGTGTCTGAGCAGCTTCAAGTCCTGCGTCTTCCTGGAGTGCGGGCACGTGTGTTCCTGCACCGAGTGCTACCGCGCCTTGCCCGAGCCCAAGCGCTGCCCCGTCTGCAGACAGGAGATCGCCCGGGTGATTCCCTTGTACAACAGCTAACCGGCGGAGGGCCGCTCGGCTGGCTGAGGCGCCCCCAAGCCCCACCTCAGGAATTTGTGTCTTGAGGCCCAGCTGTCATCCCAGCTCCGACTGAGGGAGCGGACTGGGGGAGCCATCCGGCCTCACAGCCCCAACACTAGGATGTTGCCTTGCCACCGAGAGAGGGGACTCCTCCGCCACTGGCTGAGACTCACGGCCCCACCCTGGGGTGGGTGTGGTGGCCTTGCCTTCCTGGAACCGGCGGAGTGTGTGTGTGTGTGTGTGTGTGTGTGCGCGCGTGCACGTGTGTGCGCGCGTGTGTGTGTGTGTGACGGCACCTCATTGCTTGAGGGCCCAAGCCCGTGATCTCCAGCTCTTCTGGTCCTTTCTGGGGAATTGCTGGTTCCTGTGGTCTTGCACCTTGAGTGACTCAGCCAGCAGGGAGGCGAAGTCAGGCTCTGGGTGTGGTGTGTGCCCCACGGAGCTGTCTGAAGAGTCACCTCTGACGAGACTGTCACAGTCTTTCTTCCTTTTGCTTACACCCCAGGAAAAAGGCCAGGCTGGATGTGGGAACTGTGTCCCTTTCCCCTCACCTCCTTACCTCTTAATGTGGGCACATGTGTGTCGGGACAAAAGGAAGCGACGCCCGCCATCCGCCTTCTGCCTAAAAGCTGGGAACTCTGGTCAGCAGGCTGAAGGGCGGCCACTTGAGGGGACAGTCGGGCTGTCCTGTCGTCCCCAGTGGTGAAGGTGGCAGCTTGGCTGCAGCCCTCCTGGTGTCTCCGGGACCGGAGCACACCGCTGGCCCTGGCTGGGAGCGCGAGAGGCCCGAGGCCCGAGGGCTGGCTCTGGCTTTCTCTGCCTGGGGTTGGCCCGAGAGGCCTCACCACCTGAACGAAGCAATAAGGCTGCTGCTGCCCCAGCCTCCTGGCCCTGTCAGCCTCCCTCCTGGGCTGTCACGGAGGCAAAGTCGCCAGCCAGCACCCTGAGCGCAGAGCCTCTTCCGGAGTCCTGCCTCCTCACATTGAGAAGTTAGCATCCCGTGGGTGGAGTCACATTGCCCCTTCCTGGGTTGCTGTTCACCCCCTCATGTGCCCCCCCCCGAGTTTGTGGAAAGAAGTGGGGGAACCCCTTTCACCTCCTCCGGCTAGTCGGAGGTCTCTCTCCCTTCCCTGGCTTTGAATATTCATCCGCTGTCCTCTTTTGTGTGGGGGAGGTGGGTGCTCTCCGGGGGCTGACACCCGTTCTATGCAGGGTCCTGTGTGGACAGCACAAATTAAACATGTTACAACCAAGTGTTAACCTGTTGCTTTGTCAATGAAAGTTTGGTGGTTTGGCTGAGGCTTGCGTGAAATGGGACTGAATCTCACTGCGGTGGAATGATCTAGAGACCTTGAAGCCTCTCTGTGTGTCTTCTTCCTGGGCAAAGAGGTGCTTTGGGGCTCCTACAGGGCGTGTTCGGCAGTTTGGTGAGGCGGAGGCCTGGGGGTGGGCGTCTTGGAGAGTAGCCTGTAGGTGGCCCTGGCCTCACGGACAAGTCCTGAGCAGAGGGGCAGTGACATGATGGGGCCGGGGTGGGATGCTGGGGGACAGCAGGGAGGAGATGAACATTTAGAGTATTGTACTATACGCTCTTCTGAGCTTTCGTTTCAAGGTGAGCTGATCCTCACAAAACCTGCAGGCTCTCCTGGTCTCTGCATCTCAGAGAAGGAAATAACCCACGATGGGAAGTTCACTGGCCTGCAGCCTCCGGCTACTAGGTGGTGGGTCTGAATTAAAACTCCAGGCTGTTCCAAAGCCCCTGACCCTCCTGCTCACGGGCAGTGACTAATTTCCTGTGTGTACAGGACTACCCCACAGGATCCTCGCTCCCGAGTTCATGGAGGGGGCCCGCTGTGGAACAGGCGGAGGTGAGAAGCCACGTGCCAGTACTGAGTCCGGTCTGGTGAGGCAGAAAGAGCTTGGGGGCTGGGCAGGGTGAGGGGGCGCCCAATCACCTTGAAAGCACCTGCCCCTTTTTCCTTGTCCTTCAGCCCTGACTTTGTCAGAAGGTCCAGCTTTTATTTATTTTTATTTTTATTTTTTTAAAGATTTTTATTTCTTAAGAGAGAGCATAAATGGGGGGGAGGCAGAGGGAAGAGGGACAAGCAGACTCCATGCCAAGCAGCGAGCCTGATGCAGGCCTCCAACCCAGGACCCTGAGAAGATCACGACCTGAGCCGAAGTCAGACGCTTGACTGACAGCCACCCAGGCGCTCCGGTCCAGCTTCCAGTAGAGGATGAATGAACCGCCTGTGGCCGGTGTATGTGGCCATCTATGGAGAGTTCAGCCCTCGGCACAGATTTCGTGAGTAAGTCTGAAAAGGGAAGGCCACCTGCTCTACCCCAGCCCCACTCAGATCTGGGCGGACCAAATCTGCCTCGACTGTTCTCCAAGCCGAACCTGGGGGAGACAGCCGCAGCACACGGTCCCCGCCTTAGGAAGTGACAGCTCATGGGGAATAGGAACACTCATGTACCCAGGTTTTGGATTTGAGGTCCCTGCTCAGTCCTAGCCCAGGTGGGGCTGACACTGTCTCAGCTTCCTGCCCCTGTGGCAGTTCCCACCTTCCATTTTGGGAGCCCCATCTCCAGGAGGGCTGAACGGGACCTACCTGGGACAGACAGGGCCCAGGCTGGGGAGTGGGGAGTGACAGGGAGGGGAGGACCATAGGACGTTAGTGCTGAACCAACCTTGGGATAGTTGTGAGTTTTCAGTTCTTTGCTAACTCAACCCCTATGCTCAGTCACTTTAATCCTAGACAGACACCTTCAGGAGGAGCCCTCTTGAATATCTGCTCCTGGTGTCTTGAATGTCTGCTAGGCACTTTATGTGCATTAATGCGGGGGGCAGGGGGGTCCTACAGAGTGGACATTGTTATCCCCACCTTACAAGTGAGGCTCAGAAGGGCTCTGTGTTTGCCTCCAGCCACACATCATTGTGAGCCAGCCCATGTTAGGTTCCTTACAGGCAGCATTCCTGAGACTTAGGGCAAGCAAGCGGGGGAGACCGTATTACCCCAATTTGCAGGTTATGTGATGTGCTCAAGGCTACCAAGGTCTGACTAGAATGCCTCCACCTTTTGTCTTTTATCACTTTAGGCCTGAGAGGGGAAGGAAAGTCATCCAACAGACCACTCCGTGTTGCAGACCCAGTGTTTTCCTGGCCAGTCACACCCTAGTTACATATCACAGGGAGAGGCTTTGACGTTTCCCTAGCTTATCTTGATGGAACAGAAGCCGGGAGGCAGGTCTTTGGAATCCTAACTCATTCAGAATTATGATAGAAAATTCAAGAAGCAACAATATGTGGAACATTTAAAAAGCAAACAACAACATGACAAACTTGGCCAATCTGGCACCCTTTATGACCCCGGTCCCAGGCCATGAAAATCCCAACTGGACGATGGGTCTGAGGCTGATGATCCCGCAGGGCCTCTGGAATGCTCAGAGGAAGAGCCGGTCATGTTCCCTGATGGGCATTTATTCATCTAACAAACATTTGCTAAATGTATATTTAGCAATCTCTGTGCCTGGAGTTGCAAAATGAATAAGACGCAGTCTCTGCCCTTGCAGGGCTCAGAGTTGTCTTAATATACCCTCATTATTCAAAAGGCAGTAAACCGTACTGGCCAGGTGTGATGACCCTCAGTTGTTGGGCCTATTTGCTGTTCACAGAATAGTGTAGCTGGGATGAGCCTTTGAAATTGACCTGGTTAGAGCAGATTCCCATTCAAAATAAACCGACCAAGGGCAGTCCACCGTTGCAGAAGGGGAGCCAAGCAGAGAAGACGTACCCCACAGAGCCTACAATGACCTACTGGAAACACCAACCTGACCGTGTCCCTCCTCTGCTTGAAGCACTTCCACAGGCCCCCTGTCATCTCCAGGCCCAGGCCCTGACTCTTCCCAGGCATCTGAAGACCTGCGTAACCCAGCCCAGCTGTCCAAGCCTCTCCGCATCCCTCTGTCCCACACTTGTGGCTCCTGTCGCACAGTCAGTGAGGTTCCTGAGACATGCCATGCTGAGTCCTGCCCCTGGCATCCTGGCTCTTCACCTTGCTAACGTCTACTTACCTTTCAAAAGCAGCTTTAGGTGGTGTCTGCTCCATTCCTAGGTGCCTTGGAGGGGTTAGGTGCCCCTCCCCTGAGATTCCATAATACAGTCTTCTCAGTCCTGCCCTTAACCGGATTGCCCCTGTCTTGGGCAGCACCTGCCTGCATCTTATTTTTTCTCGGGTCATCACTATACACTAGTTAGAGCTAACATTAGGGCTTGTTCTTTGCTGGGTACTGACTAAGTGCTCTCCATGATTCATGTCATTTAATCTGCACCCTGAGTTACGTGTTTGTATTATTCTTCCTTTAAAGAGAAGGAAACCGGGGCGCCTGGGGGGCTCAGTTGGTTAAGCGTCTGCCTTCGGCTCAGGTCCTGATCCCAGGGTACTGGGATTGAGCCTCACATCGGGCTCCCTGCTCAGCAGGGAGCCTGCTTCTCTCTCTCCCCCTCCGCCCCGCTCGTGCTTTCTCTTTCTCTCAAATGGATAAAATCTACATAGATAGATGATAGATAGATAGATAGATAGATAGATAGATAGATAGATAGATAGATAGATGATAGAAGGAAACCAAGGCCCAGAGTGGTCAGGTATCTTGCTAAGCTCACAAGAGAGTCAAGATTTAAGCCCACGGCAGTCTGACTCCAAGCCCAAGAGCTCAAGCAGTGAATGTCCGTGGAATGGGCAAGTTGACTAGCGAGTGAACTAGACACGGGGTAAGCAGTCCTGAGAAGCTGCCTGTGGGAGTCGGTTACTGGACCAGAGATGAGGGCCATGACCTGGTTGTAGGAGTGAGGGAAGGGCCTCAAGCCAATGTGGATAAACTGTATGAGAGGAACATTTGTGCAGCGAGCTGACCAGAGTGTTGACTCCTGATCGCACAGGAAAGTTGGGGTGATGTCATTGGGTGGTGGGAAATAGTCTGGACCGGCAGCCCAAAGGCTGGCCTGCTCTCAGGACCTGGCTCTGTTGCTGTGTGATCTTAATGGAGTGATTTGACCTCTCTGGGCCTCAGCTCTATCTATAAATGGAGCAAGTTGGATTCGAAGCCCTCCAAACCTCCATCCAGCTCTGACATTTTGCATGTCTAAGCGTGGGTGAGGGAGCCAGGAGGGCAGTGTGGAGGTCCTCTTTGGGGCTGCAAGTCTGACAGATGAGAGCCGGGCCCTCTTCGGGCTAGCTGCCTGCCACAGCTTCGGGACCACATTCCCCTAAAGCCAGGGAGATCAGTACATTTTCTAATTAGATAGTGTTAACTTATCAATTTTCAGTGTGATAAGTTTCAATGTAAGATGTCCTGAATTGCTCCCTGGAGTGCTCATTAGTCACTTCCCCTGCAGCTGCCTTATTGTTTTCCAGATGCCAGCCCAGGGACCTGGCATTTCCCTTTCCCAAGAGTGGGGCGCACGAGGCCCAGCAGTGACACCAGCCTTGGTTAGAGGGGCTGACCGGGCGTGGGCGGGGGCCCTCCTCTCCTGCCCTTTACCCTCTGTCCTTGCCAGAGCGATTCCCTTCCGCGACGTTCCTCAAATTCAGATCCCTCCGGGATTGGGCCACGACTCTGGAAGGCCACAGCTGAACTCAACAAGCATTAATTAGGCACCGAGTGTGCCAGGCACCTTGGATCTGTAACCTGAATGTTCTCTAGGCTGGGGGGGAGGGAGGGACAAATGAGGTTGTATTAAAATTAATGTCCAAATTGCCCCAGCTGCAGGCCTCCCAGCCCCTCATCATCTTTCCTAGCACCTTGAAGGTGCTTCGTAGGGTGGAGCTTCATACACACTTGGCAATAAGTTGGTCCATAGTCTATTTCTTCCTACGCTTCCCCCCCTCTCCCCGCCGCAGGACTCTGCCTGGGATCCCTCCTACTGCTGCAGGCTCTGCCATGACCTCCAGGTGGCGCTGTGCCCCCATGGTTGAGGCCGGCTGGAGGCCTCAGGAGCAACCAAGGCGGTTCTTCCAAAGGTCTATGCAAATGTTCCCTCCCCTGAAGGGCGGGAACAGGCCTGGGAGGATCCCGAACTGCTGATCCCAGGTCCAGCGGGGCACAGCCTGGAAAGGGGAGAAGCAGGGATTTTTCTCTCTGGTTCCTTCCTTTCTCTGCCCAACTCACCAGGAAGCTGGGTGCAGATGTGAAAGTTTTGAGAAGCCCAGAAAATTCTGGGGGAAAAAAAATCCCCCATTTCTCCCCTGATAATT